CACAGATGAACAGAAAGTTCAAAAGAACAGCATTTATTTGAAATAGAAATCTTTTGTAACATTATAGAAATGTCACTTTTGATCAATTTAATGCATTCTTGATGAATAAAAGTATAAAAAATTACAGTGACCCCCAAACTTTCACTTACTGTCAGCAAAAAGCTTTTCCCAAAAGTTAATCTGAGCTCAAGTGTGTTGTGTCCAGCTCAGCTCACTATTATTTCGGTGAAGTTGAGATGCACTTGTTGATGTCAGACATTCTGATGATTCTGTGAAGTCTTGAGTGTGTATACGTTTTTTGTGTTTTTCAAATGATGAATATTCTGTTAAATTTAAGCTGCATGTAAGCGGTTTTAGTGCAGCGGGTGATTGACAGGTGAGCAGGCGTGTGTCCAGTGATGCTTCTGACTGACTCTGAGTGTGTTTCAGTGATCAGATCAGTGTTGTGCACTCACACATATGCACTCACACAATCACACTCACTTGCACTCACACGCAGTCACGCACACTCACACACACTCACACACACTGACACACACACTCACTCACACACAGTCACACTCATGTGCACTCACACATATGCACTCACACAATCACACTCACTTGCACTCACACGCAGTCACGCACACTCACACACACTCACACACACTGACACACACACTCACTCACACACAGTCACACTCATGTGCACTCACACATATGCACTCACACAATCACACTCACTTGCACTCACACGCAGTCACGCACACTCACACACACTCACACACACTGACACACACACTCACTCACACACAGTCACACTCATGTGCACTCACACATATGCACTCACACAATCACACTCACTTGCACTCACACGCAGTCACGCACACTCACACACACTCACACACACTGACACACACACTCACTCACACACAGTCACACTCATGTGCACTCACACATATGCACTCACACAATCACACTCACTTGCACTCACACGCAGTCACGCACACTCACACACACTCACACACACTGACACACACACTCACTCACACACAGTCACACTCATGTGCACTCACACATATGCACTCACACAATCACACTCACTTGCACTCACACGCAGTCACGCACACTCACACACAGTCACACACACACTCACTCACACACAATCACACTCACACACACACTCACTCACACAGTCACACTCACGTGCACTCACACATATACACTCACACAATCACACTCACTTGCACTCCCACACAGTCACGCACACTCACACACAGTCACACACACTGACACACACACTCACTCACATGCAGTCACACTCACGTGCACTCACACACAAACACACTCACACTCAGACACACTTACACACGCACACACACACACACTCACACTCGCACACACACACACTCGCACTCACACACACTTACACACACACTCACTCACACACAGTCACACTCACGTGCACTCACACACACTCATTCACAGACAGTCACACTCACGTGCACTCACACACACTCACTCACACACTCACTCACACACAGTCACACTCACGTGCACTCACACACA